TGGACTAGATGACCTCTTGAGGTCCCTTCCAACTCTGATATTCTATGATTCTATGAAAAGTATCTCATAATGTACCGTTTCAAATACTGAGATTCAGAAAAATGAATATGATTATTTGTCCATTGTGCCTGGCTAAAAGGTGCAACCAGCAGCTCCTCTGTTCCAAATTCTAGTGTAGAACGTGCTTGAGAAGGGTTTATTATATTGGCAGTTGCGTTGGAGATTGAGAAGCTAATGAAAAACAGTAACTTTGTTCAGGAATGGGAGATTAGAAGTCACCTGTACTGAAAATTGGTTTCTAGAGTACCCATTGTTCAACTTGTGTTCTGTTTTGGTGGGTGGGTTAGTTGGTTGGGTTTTCAAGTGCATTGTAAACTGGCAATCTGTTAGCTGTGGGCTTGGGTATTCTTGGCTTCCTTTCACCAGCCAGAAAAACTATTGCTGAAAATCACAAGTGATGGCTTGGATTTTCTTCAGTGTTTCTAGGGCTTCCTATTGTGTTAACAGATTAAATTCTAAAAAGAGGGATACTGTATCTCCATTTTGCATAACCATATAATTGCGACTGTTGCAAATGCAGATGATCGTTGTGCAGTGAGCTGCATGATGCAATCCACTAGGTTGCCAAAATGGCTCACAGTTCAGAATAGTTTTACTACCTAGGCAGAAGAGATTGCTTGATCAATTCCATGGCCGTGGTATGTCATGTAGGAATTGTTTGTGCCCTAGCTTGTCAGGGGCTGTTAGCATTTTCACCACTGGCATAGTCTCCCACCTTTTGTTAGTTATTTATTTATTTATTTATTTATTTATTTATTTATTTGGGGTCATCTGAAAACCATAGATATGTTTGGGCAGAGAGAAAGGAGTGGTGCTGCTTTCTATGCCAGTATATTGATGGCACTGGATAGCATGTGGTTATATAATCTCCCACAAATTGTTCAATATCTTGACCTCTTGAATGAGTATTTCCTTCTAGAAATTGGTTCATACCAAATTAGACTTGATTTAAGATTAAATTTAAAGTTAATACTAATTTTCATTTATTGCAACTTTAATAATTTTTTCTTCAGCTTTAAAGCTGCCACTAAACAATGTTTTAGCAGTCACTACTGTTTTTTATGACAAATCAGCGCGTGTAAATAGCAGTATCTAAAATGTGTCTTTTGACCAGGAAGTAGCCATCAAGGTCAATTAAGGTTAAAAAGCCCCCTAAAAAGAAAATTCTGAGCCATAATTTATTTTAGACCCTCATCCTGAAATGAGTTCCACGTGTGAAGAGCTCTATTGACTTAATAAAGCTTTGTGTAGGCACGGAGTTTTCTTGCCTTCACTGCCACAACACTACCTTCTTGTTTGTCTCATCCATCTTTTGTCTTGTCTTTTTTTTTGTCAGATTTGCAAACTCTTTGGCCTAGGTACTGTCACTTTCTATGTTTATACCAGGGTCGGCAACCTATGGCACACGTGCCAAAGATGGCACACGAGCCGATTTTTAATGGAACGCTGCTGCCTGCTGGGCGGCCGGCGGCCGGGACCCCGGCAGACAGCAGTGTGCCATTAAAAATCTGGCCCGGCCCACTCTTCTCCGCCCCTCCCACTGCACATGCTTTCCTGACCTCCGTCGCTTCCGGCAAGAGGTTGTGTTTCCGGGTTAGCGTGTCTATACCGCTCGCTACCTGGTGTCCACAGAGTCTGAGCGGCCCCGCCAGTGGGGGCAGGAAGAGGGACCCGGCCCCACAGGAGTTGCAGCGCCTGCAAGGCCTGTAAGTGGGGAAGGGTCTTGGGTCCCAGCTGCGCTGTGCGCCCGCCCTCCCCAAGCATGGCTGGCCCCACTCCCTGGACTCAGGCAGGCTGCCCCGGGATTGGAGCCCCGGTGAGCTCGGCTCTGTACTGGGGCAGGCCGCATCCCACAGCCTGAACCTAAGCCCAGGGGCTGCGGTTTGCCACCTGCTGGACCCTGCGAACAGCTGGACCGCGCCTCTTTCCCCACCCTAGATCACTGGACCCCACTCCCGTTTGGCATTGAGGGCAGAACCCAGGAGTCTGCAGCCCTAGTCTCCATCTGCGCTCCCACCCCCTGGAACAACTAGAGCCCAGCTGGAAACCTAGGAATCCAGAGTCCTCACTCCCAGCACTCCTCTCCCGAGCGTCAAACACCAGCCCCTTCCCGGAGCCCAGGAGTCCCAAGTCCCATCCCTCTGCCTTACCCCTACCCCAAAACCCTGCCGTGACCCCTGCACCCCCTCACACACACCCTGACCCCTGCACCCCCTCACACACACCCAGCCCTGACTCCAGCACCCCCTCACACACACCCAGCCCCCCTATACCCCGACTCGTGCACCCTCCCAGATGCCCCCAGCCCTCTGCCCTGACTCCTGCACCCCCACACGTACCCAGCCCCCACACACCCCAAGCCCTGAGTCTTGCACACCCCACATCCCAACCCCCACCCTGAGCACCAAATGGGAGCTCCTGCAGCGCACCCCCCCCCTCACCACCACATTCCCACCTGCACCCCTCGCACCAAATGGGAGCTACCCAGGTAAGCACTCCAACCCTGAGCCCCCTCCTTCATTCTAGCTCCTGGCCAGACCCTACACCTCAACCCCCAGCCTGCTTCTTCAACCCCAGCCCTGTGCTCAGTGCACTCCCACCCTCAGCTCAGTGCAGAGAGAGAGGAAGAGAATGGGCTCGAACCAGGGAGAAGGTAGGTACCCACTGTATGTGGGCAGGGCCGGGACCCCAGACCAGCAGCGGTCTGAGCCGCTCAGCCCCATGGCCTGCAAGGATCACCTCTGGAGGGCAGAGAGCAAAATAGTTAGCTTGCCTTGTCATTCTGTTTTCTGAGACTGCAAACAAAAGATGGCTTTGGTGCTATTGGTTGTATGTTTTTTGTTTTTGTTTGTTTTGTGGTGGAGGTATGTTCAGTACAACTAGGTTGAAGCCACAACATAGTCATAGGATGGAAACAAACTTTGGTCACTGCTAATTAGAAGTAGTGATCTGGATGTTGAAAATATTGCATTTCACTATCAGTTCTACTGAGTCATTCCTGTTCTTTTGACTGATTTCTATAAATGTGTTCTATAATTTTTTTTCTGGTGATAAGAATACAAAGTTAAGACAAGTAAAAGCATATGCAACAGCTGTCCCAGTTCAGGGCAATTGCACCTGTATTTCCCCCCCTCTGTGGTCCACCAAGGGCACCCACTCTGGGCTCCCAGCCCTTCAGTTATCACCTCTCTTGGGCAGATATCTACGTTTCTCTCCCTCCTGTTCCTTGCCAATACTGTGATATTCCCAGCAAGCCATACTTTTCTAAACAGAGGTGGGAAATTTGCATTAACCTCTCCCTAGGTATTCCCCGGGAAATCCATTTAACACTTATTAAAGCAAAAGTCCATTCTTGTCTGGCATAGAGTCTCTTGAAATCCCAGGCATCACATCACATCCTCTTCTCTCTCTCCCCCAGGTTACATTCAATCCTGTCCCACAATAATATATAAACTTTGCATTTCATACAATGGACCTCAGATATACCTAAACTTAAGATCTCCCAAGGATATTGAGGAAATTGCTATATCTGTCACAACAACTGCTTTCCATAACTTTGTAAATAACACACCAGTCCTGTAAAGCTAATGCATAGTATCATGTGCAGAAGTTAAGTGGTGAAATGATACACTAGTCAGAAGTATTTCAAAATAGCGTGCTGTATAACCCCCATGAGAGCAAGAAAATCGAGTTAGATGGCCATGGTAGCATTAGCTCAGCTTAGCTATGGTTCTCTTATATGTGCTTTGACTATAGGAATTTGACCCCATTTCAGTACATAACGATGATATAAGAACACTGGAAATGCTTCCTTTTGGGAGGTTGTAACAAGCCTAACATTATGTTAATACTACACTGTCAAAAATGGGTTTTATTCAGTGTGAAAATGCTGTTTTCAAATACTTACATCTGTTACAGGTGTTAATAAGAGTTACACCTCTTACCTATATACCTATACAAAATTATATGAGAAAAGCTATAATTGAAAAAGATAACCAAAATCTTTTTTTCTCATTCCTTGACATTTAAGCTTTTGTTGTATATGAGGCTGTTGCAGGAAACTGTTTAAAGTTAATCATTTTCTAACACTATTGATTGAAGTACTGCTTTGAATGTACAAATAGGAATGATCTGACTTCATCGTCATTGTCAAAAATAAAAAGCTGAGGGAGCATTTAATAAAGGGGGCATCTATTGTATGAACTTGAAACATAATAGTAAACATGCTCAAAATAACTTCACCAAATCTCAGAAGTTATTTAAAATAGAATACTTAATGCACTGATTTACACATAATCACATGAACTTTTTCTTTCCAATATCTAGTTTAAGGAAGAAATCTCTAAGCGTTTCAAGTCCCACACCGATCAACTTGTATTAATATTTGCTGGAAAAATTTTAAAAGATCAAGATACTCTGACCCAGCATGGGATTCACGATGGACTCACTGTTCACCTGGTCATCAAAACACAAAACAGGTAACCTTGCTGATAAGCTGTCTTCTGTTCTTTAGCTGTAAGAAACCAAATAAACATCCTTGTTTCCAAATTAGACAACTCGTGTTGTGCAATTACTAGGTCTGGCTAAAAGACACTATTCTTACTCCTGGTCCTGAGGTCCCTTGCAAAAACATGGGTGGAAATCTCCAAACTCTTGGAAATTTTTTGTTCATTAAATGCTGCAATAGCAGGATAGTGTGAGTGTCATTCTCCTCTCTTGGCAGTCATGTGCCACCTTCTGAACTTCACCACTACACTTGGAACTTTCCAGTCAGCTCCTTCTTGACTTCAGTCAGTGAAAACTCCTTGCAGGAGCTGGGCCTCTACAGTCACAGTGCTCTTTTCATGAGTATTGTTTGCCATGTTCCTCCCTTGTAGATGGGTTTAGGTTGCTAATAGTAAAAAACAAACTATTTCTGTTCTTTGGGCACTCAATCCTGGCACGTGGGTGCTGAACACCAGCATTGTTTTTTGCCCTATAGTTTCTAAGGTGTTTCAGTTTTCACCTCTCCAGGATGAAGGCAGCCTCCTTATCAACTTCAAACCATGCCCAAATGGCAGAAAAATATCTGCAAAAGATGAACACATCAGCTGTATTGTTTACCTTTAAGTCAATCTCCAAGTATAGAGCAGAAGCCCTATTGGAATTATTTTTATTGATAATACAGGTATCACCAGGACACCAGTTTAATCTTAATTTCCTTTATTAAATTCAAAGGCCGAATACTATTTATACAGCTACTCCAAATGGGCCTTAAATGCCTAAGCAATCATACCCATACAGTAACATGCAGTTATAAGCATTGTTCAGGTACTTACTACAGGATTAGACTGAGGAAGTTCAAACCCACATTGGCTGGCTTCACCTGGACAGCAGGTACTAGTAATGAACTTTTTATACTTTATGTATCAGAACCTATGTGACTCTACTCACTGCTTTATGAATTTATTTTTTGTTAAAGCCATGTAGAACCACCCCGGATGATTGGGGTGGCTTCTTCAAGACTTTTCACCTGTTTTATCAGTTACCTTCCAGGTCCAGTTTTTCCAGTTAAGCCACATTCCAAGCCCAGTATTTTCAACTAAGCATACCATTTTTCAAGGCCTTCCCCCAACTGCTAACCACCTCCACTTTGTACAAACTGCAAATCATATATTTTCTTTAGCCAAGACAATTTAATGTTGTCTAATCATACAAGCATATGGCTGCTTTCACAGGCCTTTTGTGCAACAGAGGGCAGTTCCATTGCAGTTGTCCAGGGTGCATGTAAGCGGTGCTCCGGGGATGTTCCTTACCTTCTGCAACAGCAAACTGCACCAGAAGCAGCTGAGGGGATGTGATCCAGGGTTCCCACTCCTGGCCGCACGTGGCTAGGTGAAAGATTTCCAGTCTCACCTTTTCCAAGGGCACTCCTGTGTATCTTGTACAAGGCTGGGCTGTAGTGCTTCGAAGAGTAAAAAAATTAAAGCAAAAGACCAAGATGGCAAAAGCTAATGAATACCAAGACACTATCAGCACCTCCCTGAGTGAGCATAAACCCAGTGTCGTCTAGTGGGGTAGCTTCACCTTTAAAGTGTCCAGAGCCATCACTCTTGAAGTTGAGGTTTCCATCCAGAAATATGTATGAGGATGTAGACTGGAACGGAGAGCTAACGTGAACGGCTTTTGATGGTGGTGAGGCTCCTACCATCGGTGGGTATCCATAGATCCATTTGGCCAGAGGACTGTGGGTTCCACCAGTAGGTCTATTGAAAGACCAAGGAGACTCCGTATGTTGGAGAGAACCTGTTAGTGGAATAAGTGGAGATAGCTATGCAAAAGACAAAGGAAAGACAGGGCACAGTGAGATGTTCTGGATCAGCCCTCAAAAGTGGGGAAAAAAAGGAAAAATTTGGGAAAAGTTCCCCTTCATGTTGGTTTTCAGATTGATTGCCTTTGCAGGAGAGATCTGTATGCCCTGCAGGTGGTGGTCAGCTTCGACGGCAGCAGAAGCCAAGGATCCTAAGCTCCCTCTGAACAATTTTCAAATAACCAAAGGAGTGTAAAGAGGCATCAATGCATACAGTCAGTGTACCACTTGCTGTAGCCCGGCTGAGTCTTACTATCTGGTGACCTTCGTCACATCAGACATGGGTCCTGTTTGGGGCTACATGATTAGGCTTTCAGAAAACCCTCCGAATTACATGTCTGCCTCTGTCCCTGGAAAGCACTTGGCCACTGTTTTATCAGGAAGATATGCTACGGAAGAACCAATCTCTTTTGGCTTGTGAAAAAGTGTGAATTCCAGGTATTTCATGAGTCAGAGACAAAAGGCCTATGCCGGATCTCAGAACAGAATCATAATTAGTCAAGGAAGAATTCATTGTAGTCACCTTGTGAACCATCATGCTTCTAGGAGAAGGCAACTGACTATGCTCTGGATCTCATGGATGGGTGGTTCCTCCATAGCACGTTGAATAGCTCAGATTGTAGGAATAGCTGTTTTCTGTGGCCTGACATCAGTGCTGTATTCTTCTCACTACATGCCTGCTTGCAGAATTTGGGAGTACATGTTGCTCTATTTGGATGAATGGCTGATCAAGGATCCTGCTTTGGAGGATGTCTTCATACTCACCACCAGTATGTTCGCATTGCTCTGGTATATGCGTAAGCTATTAAAATCTTAACTTGTCCTCAGCCAATACATGGAGTACCTAAAAGCCCTGCAAAACACAGTTCAACTGCAAGCATTCCCATGCCATGATAGAATCCAAGATATCACCATTCTGGTGGCTAGGATTTGTCAGCCAGAAAATAGCATGATCAGAGCTGACATGATAGCTGGATTTTATGGATGAAATTGTGGTATACATGGCACAAGACAACCTCAGCAGACCCCAGAAGCCCAGTTGAGAGCAAGCATTGCAGGGACGGTAGGATAATAACCAACAGGGCTGGCTCCAGGGTTTTTGCCATCCCAAATGGCGGAGGGGGGGAGCCGCAATTGCCATCCGCGGCAGCTCCAGCGTGCGGCTTTCTTCTTTGGGTGCAGGTCCTTCCCTCCAAGAGGGACCGAGGGACCTTCCGCCGAATTGTCACTGAAGAGCCCAACGTGCCGCCCCAAGCACCTGCTTGCGCAGCTGGTGCCTGGAGCCGGCCCTGATAACCAACCTTTGGGTTTCACAGGCCTGGTGACAGTCCAGGGACACATCTGCAATTAGGAATGGGCTTTGAAATGCGTGTATGTCCAAATGTTCAGTCCCTCCCTGTACGAACTTGGTTTCTTCAGGAACAACTTCATACCGATGTTCTGGAGATGGGGTTTGTACTGTTAGAAGTGAGGCTATCTTCTGTCTAATTTCCTGTGAGTCAGTGTGTTCACATTTTTGGGACTGGTCCAGATAATTTCAGCAAAGGACAGATTGACCTGTCCAAAGCTGAGCTGATCCATCAAGTACAGGACTGCTATCCTGACACTGAAAATGAGAAATCTGCCATGACTGAGTTTGGGAACAGACTTGGTCATAAACTTAGCCAGGTTTACATAATTGTGCTCCCATTTTCTGAAGAGTTCTAACTTTGAATAGACAGTAGTGTGCAGTACATGTTACAACACTTGGAACCCAAAATGACTCAGTTTTGTTTGTATTGGTCTGTAGACTGTTTACAGTTGTATCCACAATTGGCATTCACCAGATTGGAATTGCCACAGTGCTCCACCTAGAAATGGTTAGGTAGGACAGGGTTTTACTTTGCACTGTCAGATAATTTGGATGTCTGGATGGTTTTGTCTCTCTCAATTTACTTCCAATGTTTGGGCAGGATAACAATGGGAAGGGAAATGGATTGGTACCTGCTATTGCTCAGAAAACAGCTGAAACTTATCAGAAATAATGGCTGTGGTACTGTGTTCATTGCTTCCGTGACTGGCTGAAATCCTACTCATGGTTCCAACGCAGTGAGGGGTGGGGTTTGGGATCTCAGTGAAAACATCAATTTGGAATGATAAAACATACACAATCATCTTTGTAACCCTATTTGAGTTTAAATCTTTCCTTTTAGAGATTGTCCTGGAGAATCTTGAGATTCTGGTTTTTGTCTGGGTGGGGAATATGAGTTTAATATCCAGTTGGGCAGAAAATAGAAATACCCAAAGCATGTGTC